TTTTTTTTATATTCCTTGAATTACGAAAAACATGTGCAAACTGAAAAGAAACCTTTCATTACCTTTTACTTTTTCTCCGTCATTATGTATTTAATAGAGTTAATATTATAATGTCTAGATATAAAAACAAGTACTAAACTGTTTCTTTATTCTTGAATTAAACTAATACCCATATCTCATTATTCAAATAATTTCTTATCGTTTTATATCCGAAAGAAAATATTACTTATTTATTTTTATTTGAATAATTCTGTACCAATTGACTGTCATGAATATATAGTTATGATGAAGCTGTAGTTTCATCTTTACGATTCAAAACGTAAGTTATATGGAAATATAATACTTGTTAAATATATAAATCTCCTTTCTTTCCTTTAACACATGCATAAGCACACCTGTTGTGTTCTTTTTTTTGAAAAAGAAATCTTTTACCACATACAGAGAGAGAAAAAATACCGCTGGCAGAGTGAGAATTATTTACTCTTCATAACTCATTCGTTTCTATGCATCCTATATGTATATATTAATCAAGCAGTCATCCGCAAGAAACTAATACAATGGGTAATATATTAAGAACGAGAAGAAAATCTATAAGAAAAGACAATCAGAAAATAGAGAAGAAAAGAATACATAATCTATATCTATTTCTAGCTATGTCATATCGATGAATAATAACTGTTTATTTTAGGACAAGGATCTAGACTGGGGTACGGTTTATGCTGTTATGTGTTTCGACGTCGTCGTCACTATTGTCGACTTATGTTTTCATTAAATTATTGTTCATATCGTAATTATTTATTGCTAATACTTTTATGTTCGATATTTATTTATTATAATTCATTACGTCAAACAAAAAATTTTGATGTAACTACTGAAATATCTAATTCCAATCGAATAATTTATGCTGTTCGAACTGGTTCACGTTTTTATCAAAAACGTTTAGTTTATCTTCTTCAAACATGGATACCATTAGTAAATAAAGATACTTTTTTTATTACGGATAAATTATTACCAAATATATCTCAGGATCATACGATTTTAACAGAAAAAGCATGTGGATCTGATGCTCATTCTATGAGTAATTTATGTTGTAAAACAGCACATGATTTTCTAGTCTTTCATCATTATATATCTGAATATAATTGGTTCTGTCATTTCGATGATGATCAATATGTTAATGTTAATAAATTAAATGAATATTTATCTACTCTTGATTCGAATAAACCTTATTATATTGGACGTACTTCATGGCCTAATGCTCTTCAACGATCAAAAGAACCATTTCCAAGTCCATTTTGGTTTGCTACATTAGGTGCTGGTGTATGTCTATCAAAACAAACAATTCATCTTCTTAAACCTTATACTCAAACAACATCAGATTTTGTTGATGGTTGTATACGTGAAAATTATCACGATGATATTTATTTAGGTTTTCTTTTATCTGCTTATTTAAATATAACTTTAACGAAAACTGATCGATTTCATTCTCATCTCGAAAAATCTTTCTATAGTAATAAACAAACATTTCTTCGAACATTTACAAATCAAATAACATTTGGTTTTCGTACACCTGATCGTTATCCATATTTTCTTCCGCAATTTTATCGATCTCATCTAGATCCATATCGTATGCGTACACTTCATTGTCTGCTCTATACACAAATAAATGAATGTCAAACAAAAATTCATCAACATCTTTTTAATTCTACGAAATAGATATAAAGCAATACAAGGTTTTATTTTTTACTCGCCGTCGTCGATGTTTTTACAGGTGCTGGTGGAGTAACAACAGGAACAACTTTAGGTGCAGGTGGTGGTACTACTGGTTTTGGTTTAAATGTTGAAACAGGTTTTGCAGTAGATGGTTGTGCAGAAGTTTTTATAGCACCTGTATGAACTGTTTCATTGAAAACATGCATTTTTTCATTAAAAAAAATTCGAAACCAATTGATATGCTCGAGTTTTTGTTCAACTGTCCAGTAAGGATTTCGACCTAGACCAACACAAACAAGTTCCATAAATTGACGAATCAATGGAGAATTTGGAAAATCTTGTAGATGACGTTCTAATAAAACATGTTCATAAAATGGAATATCCGCTTCGGAACCAATATCTATATAGAAGAGAATAATTTTTATCCTATAAATTAATAGAAAAAATAAACCTTGTTCATTATCAACTGGAAATTTCCAAAGAATTCCATCTTTAGTCCATTGAATCATCTCTTCAAAAGCATTTCGTGGTGGAATGGCTGATATTCTTGTTATTTCATCTTCTTCATATTTATCCCATATTGGAGAAATTTTTAAAGTTAAATCTGTAAAAAATTTATTTTAACAAATTGTTATTTTTTATTAGTTATCAATACCTTCTTCTTTAGTAAATATTCCTAATGGTTGACCACTCCATAATTGATGAGGTCTTAAAAAGCAAAATGATTCAAATTTTTCCTTCATAAAAATAAAATTACTTCATAAATTCTTGTCGACGTTTTGTATCACGCATTGGTCTTCGATATTCGTTACTATCACGTTTCTGCTCATGATTATCACTAAATCGTGGTCGAACATTAGATCCATCTACCGCTATGTTTAAATAAACAAGAATCGAATGAAAGAGATCTTATGTTTGATAACATACCATCTCGAATAAAATCTTCGTCAAGTGTTGATTTCGATGTACCACGAGTTGGTTTTAATTTAATATCACGTAATAAAGATCTATGAAAAAAGAATTAACTTCAATCTTTAAACTCCAGTTAAACTTACGAAAAAGCTTCAGTTGTTTGTTCAGTATTACTATCAGCTGTTGGACGGATACGTTTTTTTAATGGCAATCTATCCTGTTCATTGTATTGTTTTTGTTCTGAATGTTCTGGAGAAAATTCAGTTTTTTTTATCCATTCGTCGTGTATTTTTACTAACAACTCGATGACCACGTAGAACATCAAGTAATTCTTGTTCTATATTACTACTTTCATTTGGTGTACTTGGTGGTGTTAAAGAATCAGCAACTTGACGTGTTAAAATCTTGACTTCATTTGAGTCAGTATCAAGAATAACTTGTGGACGAGATTGTCTATAAAATAATTTATCATAATAGTATTTTTTACATAAAAAATAGTTCATATGTTATTTTGCTAAGGTTTTGTTTCTCAACTATTAGAAAGAGATCCGATTGAAGATTTTTATCAGAATTTCTTACTTTTGTTTTTGCGCATTTTGTTCTCCGTCTCTTCTTTGTTTTTTTTCTGTTACATTAAATGGTTTAGCAAGATTAAGTTTATTGCTCGATGATAATCGTTGAAGTTCTTCAACATAATTTTTTCTTCGATTTACATTCTGAACATTTAAACTTTGTAGAAGATCATCTGTTTGATTACTATCATCATTTGATAATAATGTTTTACTAGTAATCGATTGTTTATTTTCTAATTTATTATCATTTGTAAGATTTCTTTTATTTTTAAATGTATTTTTCGGAGTATTGATATTTTTTCGTTCAAAATTTAAAAGTTCTTCATTAAAATGAGTTGAATTTGGTTTTGATTCATCATCATTTGTTGATTTTTTCGATCGAAATCGATATTGATATGATGATAAAGGATGAGTATACTGATAAATAGTTGATACTCGTCGTAAGGCTAACATAGATTATTCTAGAAAAAAAAATGGTAAACGGATTTTTTATTCTATTTAAATTATTTCATTCGGTTTTGAGAAAATAAAGGTTATAAGGATAAAAGAGAAGCATGATTGACTTAGAAGCATATTGAACAAAAACACAAAACAAAATATTTTAGACATGTTGTGAGTTATTAGCAGAGTAAATAGTATATAAAACTATTTGTCAATAAAGAATATTAGATAGAAAAAAAGAAAAAAGAGAGGATTCATTTGATAGATAAAAACAAAATATAAGTGACTATTTCTAAACAATCGACTAGATTAAGAGGTTTATGTGTATGAGATTATGATGAATCTTTGACACGTCGGCAAATTTCTGCAGTATATTCCGAACATTTCGATTTACCACCTAAATCACCAGTAAGTACCTAAATTTAAACAAAAATATAATAAGCTTATTTCAATAATTAAGAAATCCCATAGGAAACCTTCATACATTTTAGAATGAGTTCTTTATCTTTTCCAGATCGATACTATTCAAATTACATAAGACCGACTTTTATCTTCTTTATTACTCAGAAATATTTTTATCCAATAGAAATAATTCAATAAGATTGACGTACCTTTCCATCTTTGATTGTAGCAAAACATGCTTTTTCAATTCGATCTGCTTTATCAGTCAAATTTAAATGACGTAACATCATAACAGCACTTAAAAGTAATGCTGTTGGATTAGCTTTATCATGTCCTGCAATATCAGGAGCTGTACCATGAACAGCTTCGAAAATAGCTGCTCCATTTTCACCAATATTACCACTTGGTGTTAAACCTAAACCACCAATAAGACCAGCACAAAGATCACTAAGAATGTCACCATATAAATTAGGCATGACAAGACAATCAAATTGAGTTGGATCTTGTACCATCTATTGAAGAAATATTTATATAGTAAAAATTTTCGAATAGAAAAAAAAACAAACCTTCAAACAAACTGTATCAAGATACATTTCTTCGAATTTAATTTCCGGATATTTTTCAGCTACATTACGTGCACTTTGAAGAAATAGACCATCAGAAAGACGCCTTAATTTTGTTGAAAAAACAACTTATTTAAATAATAGAAAAAATAAATATCCGTCTTACATGATATTTGCTTTATGAACAACTGTTACTTTTTCTCGTTTATGTAGTTTTGCATAAAGAAATGCATATTCACATACACGCATTGATGCATGTTCAGTTATAAGTTTAATACTTTGTACAACACCTGGTACAATTGTATGTTCAATACCTGAATATTCACCTTCTGTATTTTCACGTATTGTAACGAGATCAACATTTGTATATGGTGTTTGAAATCCTAAATATGAACAAAAATAATTTAATATTAAAAATAATGAAAGATACAAACCTTCAAGAGTTTTACATGGTCGAACATTTGCAAATAAATTAAATTGTTTACGTAATGCAAGATTAAGTGATTGATGGCCTTTACCAACAGCTGAACAATAAACAAGAGAGAATATATAGTTTTTTCTGCTTAAAAATATTATTTTCTTACGTGTTGCTAATGGTCCTTTAAGACCAATTCGATGTTTTGTAACGGATTCAATAGCTCGTAGTGGAATTCGAAATTTTCCATCAGGCTAAATCAAAATTATTTTCCTAAAAACGTATTTAAAAGAATATTTCTTACGCTTTTAACAGGTGTTACATCAACCGATTCCCAATCTAATGGTACATTTGCAGCTTCAAATATTTTTTGAACACTATTTGAAATTTCCGGACCAATACCATCACCTTATTAGAAAAAATATTTTTCTTTTAATCATAATTTCGAATAAAAACTTTATTTACCTGGTATTAACGTAACTGTTCTTGGAGCATCAGATGAAGGAGTTGTAGTATTAGTATTGCTATTATGACTACTGTTCGTTTCAGTAAAAAGAGGTGAACTAGTGCTAAAAGTTCGTCCATGATAAATAGATGTTGTCGGACGACATGTTATAGCAAGACGACGTAATACTACAGATGACATACTACTTCAAATGTTTACTCAAACAGTTAATTCTAAAATAGAAATATACAAATATATTAGATAAATATGAATTATAGTAAAAAACAACAACATCTAGAACTGTATTACTTCTGGACTCCAAATTATTGGAAATAACTCAACGAACAAATCATGAATGGAAACAATAGATGTCTATAGTGAATGTCAAGGCCAATACAAAGTATTGCAAGAGAAGTATCTTAGGTAGATATGAAGTGATGTAATCATTTCATAATAGAAAATTTAGCACTGTGTATTCCTTAATGAAAGTCTTGATTAATTATCTCATAATTACAAACTATTAATTTCTATTTTAGAGAATTTTATTTGAAAAATTATTATATGTATGTTATCAGATAATCAAAAAAATGAATTATATTTTTCAAACGCAATGATTGGCGAACAATATTAACTGTTTGTTGTGCATCTTCAATTGCTTCTTCATATCAGTCAAGTTCATTATGACATACTTGTCATATTATCATGAACTATAGTTAATGTTCGATGATTTGGTGGTAAAGATTTTTCTAAAATTTCGAATGATTTCTTGTAAGACGAGTGTGCATTTAATCTATCACCCATAACTTTATATGCATCACCAATATTATTATAAAGTATACCTATTGATGGATGACGAGGTGAAAGTTTTTTAAGAAAAATATTTAATGCATTTTGAAAATTTTTCAATGCATCTGTATGTTGACGTTGATCCATAAGAACTTGTGCAATATTATTGTAATCAGTTGCAATTTCAAGTTGATCAGGTTCAGGTGCATGCAGATCAATCTCAAGTGCGTGTTGATAATATTTTAATGCACCATTAAGATCATGTTGTTCAAGAAGAACAGACCCAATATTAGAATAGGTTGCTGAAAATCCTGGATCATTCTTTGGTAAATAAGTTAATTTTAATTCCAAGGATTTTTTATAATAAATAAGTGCATCAGATAAATTATCCCTTTGTTTATTAACATATCCAAGTTGATGATAGAGTTGTGCAATATCTTTTGAATTATTTTTATCTGTTGTTTCTAATAATGTTTTATATATTTCTTCAGCTTTATCAAATCTATCAATTTTTGTCATTAAATGTCCTAAAGCATGCCAATCAGTTCCACCTGCAATTTCCGTTTTCATCTGTTCAGTAACTTTAGCTAATTGTTCATCATTATCACTTGTTAATTTTAAATGTACTTCCCATAAACGTTCTTCAAGTTGTTTGATTTCATCAATACGAAAAATTGTATGCATAGAAAAGAGAATTTCTTTTTCCGAATCAGAAAAATAACTAAGATTATCTAAACAAGCAAATGGTGTTGTAGAAACTGATGGATCAATATTCATTTGAAATAAAATAGCTGTTAAATCTTGATTATTCAATGCACAACGCGCAAAACCTAATGATACTTCACGTGTAGTACTTGTTGATAAAAAATTATTAAATGATAACAGACCACCTTGATTCGCTTTCATTTTTTCAAATTCTGCATTTAACATTCCTTGACCACGATAAACTATTAATTGAGTATTTATATCAATTTTTGAATGTAATTCTTCAAGTTGGCGATGAAGATCACGAACAAAGAAACCCATTTTTATAATTATTTCAATATCTTGTGTTCTTAATGCTTTATTAAGCATTGTATATGTAAAACATTCACGTGTATACCACCAAATAGGTGATGGTCGATCATAATCACGTTCAAATTCATCAATAATTTTTAATTCATATTTATTTTTCGAATATTGTTCTCGACAAAATTCTACAAGATCCTTTTTTGCTTGATCATTAAATGGTAATCTTAATAAAATATCTTTTAATAATTGAGAATACATAAATGATTGATCAAGTTCATTCGATTTTGTTGAAACAATACTAACAGGTGTTAAATCTTTATCTCGTTGACGTATATCACTTTTAAGTTTTTCACATAATGGTTCGATTCCATTGAACATACCTTTAATTTTTTTATATTGTTTTACCCATGTTGCATGTTTAGTTAAATCATGACAAAATATATAAACGGAATCAAGTTGATTGTTATGCTGAATAGTTGGTAAAATTTGTTGACCCAATGAACCAGAAACAATTAGAAAAACTTTCTCATGCTCAATCCCATGTAGAAAATTAACACAAGATTCAATATCAGTAAATATTTTAATTGTATTAACTGTATGTTGGAGTTGATTTAGTGAATTTTGTATATCGCTATTGGATTTATTTATATTCGCATCTAACCATACAATAATAAAATTTTCGACGATACGCGTACGTGAATTCGTTTGATTATCTAATTTTTTTGATGTAATATTCGATCGTACGGGAGTAGGTTCTGAACATGTATTTCCCATTGTCGATCTACTACAGAGAAATGTAAAATATAATTTTATTCCAGTTACTTTACCCAATTGTTTTCTTCATTTTTTCTTCTCACGTATATACTCGTCAAAAAAAATTTTATGAATTGAATGCTTTTTGCGTTTTTTCTTTTTTGCACTCATATTTACTTAAATAGATGTGCACTACTTCTTTTTGAGTGATCGAGTAGTATTTTTTTTTCTATGTTAAGTGTAAAAAAAGAAATAAAAGATTTCTCATAAAAATAGCTTATTTAAATTTTAATAAAATCTTTTCGATGTGTCGATTATATAACTATGAAATCTGATGAAAAAGAGAAAAGGAAAAGAATGATAAAATTTTATCGTCATATAAATCGAAAGACGAACATTTCAGTTAATATCATTTGTCGTCAGTATATTCAATGATTACAATGCGTTTTCTTCTCTTTGTTAATGTTTTCGCTATTATTCTACAAAGTAAATAGATACTAATTTTTTACACCTAATTTTTTTCGAGTTATTATTTCTATAGATTCTTTGAGTAGTCAACCTGGTGATCCATTTCCAATAGATGAAGTTGAATTGAAAAGACCTTCTTCTGAAGATTTAATCAATAATATTGAAGTTG